AAAAGAATGAGGATGATATTTCCACTGGTGATGAGGAAAATCTCTGAAAATAGAGTTCATTCTGCGGTTATGGTTGGACACAAAAGAAAGTGTGTTTTGAGTACGAACACAGAACAGCAGATGGAAGTGAATTTACATGCGTACAGACTAGAGAAGTAGCTGAAGTGATTGAACAGAGTATAAGGAGATATGAGGTGACTTCTGAAAGTTGTGTGCAAGGTGCAGCTAATTAGTGGGGGAGAGAGGTAGATGTTTTACTAGTCATGGAAAGTATTTGCTGTCAGATTCTAACGCAAATGGGCGAAACATCTTGAGATTCACTATGGGAGGTAACTGTAGAACATGGCCATCACCTCTTCAGTTGAAAATATTGCTAAATACATACTTAAAACAAAGTTACATCCATTTTCTTGTAATGTAGATGTCATACAAAACAGATGGAGGTAAACTGGAAACAATTTATTGAATATGATGTAATTCTTTATGTTGAAGTAATTTATTTGAAGAGTTAACAGTCAAAAGACAGGACCTGATCAGTGAGAAAGCAATGATTCCGAATCACACAGCAAGCCATAGCATACAGTCCAGGCTTCCTGTTTCTAACCTGGATGGCCTACTCACAAGCATACCATTTATCTGCCTGTAGCCAGGCTGAAATGGCAAATGCCACCTACGCTTACCTACTATAACACTTTATTTGTAAAAATGCACACATAACAAAATAGGTGAGATCTGTCTAACACACAAGATCACTCCAGAGATAAATGTAGCTCTTTAAAAAGAATTATTTCAAGTCAATGAAATTCTGTGTATAGAACAACATTTGTACAGGAATATGTGTGTACGTGTAGGAATTAGATTGCACAGAATAGAATTGATCCCAGGGATGAGGTTTCTAGGTGGAGCATCTAACAGGATATCTAGTTCTCTGGTACGGTAGCAGATAAAAAGATGACATTGATATTCACTGTGCTTTTTGAAAACACAGAGCAGAATTACAGTTCTGTAGGATTAAGAGTAAATCACTATGGATGGTAATGAAAAAATCTGCATTTCCCAAGGGGGAGGAAAAAAAAAAGCACTTCCACTGTTTAGAGCTTTCTTCATATAAGCAAGGTGTGCTTTCAGAAATCTGCAATAGATGTAGTAACTTGCCAAGTCAGTATCATGGGAGTCAAACTAGCATAACTTGAAAGGTATATTTTACTTTTTTGTAACCTGTGATCCCTCTAAGTACTAATAACAAATCTGTGTATTTGTTTCCTGGCAGTTCCCAAATCAGACCAAATAACCAAGGTGCAAAAATAATACCCAGAGGTCTGCCTGATCATGTGTTAAGCAGAATGGAATTTATATTATCCTCTTGCAACATAATACGTTCAGTGAGGCAACATGGTACATAGAAGATCAGCCACACCTAAACCAGAAAGTCCTCTGTCTTCATCCCGTCGTTTTGGTATTTTAAGAAAAATGTTTACATAGGCAATAAATGTTGACAGAATTGTGGCCTTCATAACTACAATGTTAATGCGCTTTTTTTTTTTTTTTTTTTTTTTTTGAGAAAGCATTGTGAGAGAGCGTGAGCAAGATCTGTGTAGATGAAGGAGCCAAACAATCCAGGGACTGAAGTGAGAGGAAAAAAAAAATTGAGAGCCAGATTGGCCCCATTTGTATTAATGTTATTGCAATGGTAAAGCTTGGCACAGAGGGGAACTTAAGTTGAATGTTCAAGTTAAACAGATCAGTTCTCCAGTAGTATAACATAAGATGAAGAGAGCGACAAGGAAAATCAAAGATGTTGCTGAGATGGAAGAGAATAGGTGTATTAAATAGAATGTAAACAGAGAAAATGATGAGTATCAAACACACCAAACAATATTAAGCAATAATTTAAAAAAAGGGGGGGGAGGAAGAGTTAGCAGTGGTGATGTCACTGAGTCTGAGAAGGTGGAGTAAATGGATGTACAGGCATGTCCATAGAGGGTGAGATGAACCACAGCCACAGTGAGCTGTCAGAAAGGAAGAATGAGAAGTTAGCACAATTATATTTGTTTTTCCATCCTCAGGACTCTGGGGAGCTCCAGTCAACAAAAGTGTTCTCTGATTTCTGTGGTCAGCATGCAGGAAGACGGGGATCACAAATAGGTAATTGCAGCTGAGGTAGTTGCAGGTTATTTGAAATAATGACTTTCTGTGCAGTTATTTGAAGGGGTTGTGGGGATTTAGCAATGTAAATATACGTTGAAAACCTTTCCTGGAACTGCTTACTTGCAGGCTAGTTGCAGCATGTTTCTTCCAGTTAAACATCTGAGAGGCAGGCACAAAGGGATACTGGGCTTGTGATAAGTGCAGTCCTTTTCCCAGCCTTCTAACCAGCCTAATGCTAACAGTAGTTACTCTAATGTCATGCTAAGGAGCAGTGGTTGTGGACCAGAACGTACTGTGATCCGTGTTGTACAAACCCTCCAAGCTTTCAGTAAATCTTCAGAAATAACCTATATGACTTACAAGCTTATGTCTCATTCTAAAAAATGATTCAGGCACTTGGCTGCTGTTCTCCCATTGAATTAATTTCCTTTCCTTGTTTGGCAGATAACAAGTCTTTCCTATTTGCACAGTCTGACTGCTGCCTTCTTCAGCTCACTGGTTTTGCAGAGTTGTGGGTTTTTTTTCCTCAAATACAGGAAGAATGTATAGCATTTCCATGGGCAGGATCTCCAGGCCTTGGTATTAGAGGATGTTTGCCAAAAGTATTGATGTCTTTTCTGCTGTTCATATGTGTTAGATTCCCCAGCTGGTACAAGTGCCTTTGATGTCAGTAGACCTACATAAGCAAAGATCTATTGAGGTAATTCATTATGTTTTAATATAATGTTCATGTCTTCATGACTGATTTCAGTTACTACTTTTTTTTTTCCCCACTATGGTTCACTGTCTTTTTTTTTTTTCCTTACTAAAGCACTACTTCAACAGTCCCTGAAGGTTGCGTAAGATCAGACAGGCTGCTGAATGTGGGAGAGTGTTTAAAATGAGGTGAGTGTGTGATTCGAAGATTGAATAATTGATTAAGTTGGATATTGGAGGCAATATTTTCTGTTCTTTTCTGAAGCTGTTGGAATCACTGGAAAATGTTTTCATGTTGCACTTAATGTAGCTAGAATGGTAATAGTTCACTTGGTATCAAAGCTGCTTCAAACTGTTCATATGAAAATCTAGTTAAAATAATGGTGGTATATGAGCTATATGCTACCTCAAGTTTTAAGAAATATTGAGTTGTTAAAAATAGAATAATTTTCCGAGGAAATGGAAATAGTAGTGCCATTAGGCTGCAGTAGAGGACAGAAAGGTAAGTAGACCTTCAATTAAGAAAACAAATGTGCTGAGATAGAATGAATGTTAACATGTGCTGAGGAGTTTTTATACAAGAATGCAACATAAAGTATTGGCTACACGTACATATGTGAAAACATTTTCTTCCAGCTGAGGGGGTTCTGGTTATGCTTTTCCACTGCTTTGCTTTGAGAATGTTTGACAAGAGATTGGGAACCCACTCCCAGCTGCTAAACTATCCCTGAGGGATTGCATCCATTAGTAAGCAAATTGGCTGTCTGGCATCTGCTCAGCTGCTCATCCCTATTTAAAGCCCCTAATGAATATTGCAATACAGGATAGCTGTTACTTCTGGGACTGTGAGTATTTCTGATTTGTGAATCACCTTTCCAAGTTTCCAGTGATTTTTCTAAGAAACCTGAAAAGCAGAGAGAAATTATGAGTTTAACTGTTAGTGACAGACCCTGGTGGACAGGAATTAATTCTTAAAGCAGATTCATTAATAGAGTGGCCTTGCCAAAAAGAAAACTAACGTGTGAAACTAATGCGATGTTGGCAATGATGTTCTTTGTTTTACAAAATGCTATGCTATCATAACTTTTTCTGAATAAAATAGACGTGTAGGGGATAGCTATAGGAAAAGGCTATTAACGTAATTTTTACATTCTGCAATGACTGGTTAATCCATCCACTCTTGCTTCTACCTGATGTTCAAAGTCTAGTAATACTTCCTTTTTGAATCTCTGATCTGGTTCAGTCCCAGCAGTTACCTGGTCTCGCAGCCCATGTTCTTCTGTCTCTGTAGTGCTTGCCTGCTTTCGTTGCTGCTGTGTTTGGTACTTGGCCGAGCCTAAAGCCCAGCTTTATAGTGGAGGCAAATAGCTCTCACATTCGCTCTCTGACAACATACGGTCGGAGTAACTGCCTTGAGGTGGTCACCTACAGGGGATTCAATAAAAACCAAACCTGTAAAATACAAGGCTAACCCCACGTATTGGGAAGGGGGAGCGCTTACTTCTCTCCAAAGCTTTTGGGTTTGATTACCAGTGCATCGTCCACGTATCGTGGTGAATCCAATCTTAAGTGCTCCCGTGAAGGTTTTATTTGAGAATTTCCTTTTACTCTACGTTGTTCTTTGTGACCGCGTCACCTCTGGGCTTTGATCAGTCTTTTTTCGCGAGAAGTTTTTTTTCCTTTTTTTTTTTTTTTTTTTTTCCTCGGTTGGGTGTGGTGTGCCTGAGTTCACCCAGCACGTATGGCTGAGCCCTGGAGCAGAGAGCTCCTGGCGTTTATGGCCGGTGCCACACGGCTCCTGCCTTGTGCCAGCGGCGATCAGTCGGGCTGTGCCGATGAGTCAGGGCCCGCCGGGGAGCCGGGCTCGCCCCGGGCAGCGCCCGCTGGCAGCGGGGCCCGGGCTGGCACCCCCCGGGGCTGACGTGGCCGAGCCGCGGGGGGACCCCCGTAGGGCGGGCGGTGCCGGGCCAGGGGCTGCCCCCTTCTCTCCTCTCCTCCCCGTGTTGTCCCAGCCCGCGGGGCCCGCTCCCCTCAGCCCCCCCGGGCTGCGCCCCTGCCCCCGGGGCGCGGCTCCAGGCGGCTCCTCCGCGCCCTCGGGCGGCGCGGGGCACAGATACAGGGACACAGATAGCGGGGCACGGATACCGGGACACGGAGACCGGCCCGGCCCTGCCCTGCCGTCGCCCACCCCGTCCCTCGCCCCTTCCCCGGGGCGGGCGGCGGGCGCGGCCGGGTGAGTCAGCGCCGCGCCGGGGGGGCTCGGGGCGGGGAGGGCCCGCCCGGCCCTACAAAACCCCGCCCGGGCCGCCGCCGGCCCCAGCCGCCGCCAGAGCCGCCGCCAGAGCCGCCCTGCCCGCCCCGGCCAGGTGAGGGCCCCCCGGGCAACCCCCGGCCCCCAGCAGCGGCGCGGGGGCGGGCGGCGGGGCCGGGGGGGGCGAGCGGGGGTCGGGGCAGCCGCTGCCACCGAGGGAGTGGGGCGGGGGTCGGCCGCCGCTCTCCTCTTCACCTCCTCCTCCTCCTCCTCCCCCTCTTCCCCCGGCCACTGCCGCCTGTTGCCATTTCTCGGCGGCGGCTCCAGGGGCGCTCCGCGTGCCCCGCAGCGGGGCCGGGCGTGGCGGCGGCGCCCGGGGAAGAGGAACGGGCGGGCACCACGGGGCACCCCGGGGCGTCACCCGCCTGTCCCGGCACGGCGCGGCTCAGCCCGAGCACCGCCGCGGCACCCTCGGCTCCCCGCTCTGTTTCCCCGGGAGCGGGAGCAGCGCGCTCGTCCCGGCGGGGTGGGAGCGGAGGGGCGGGGGCGGCGGGGGGGGCCCGGGCCCCCTGCGGCTCCTGGCGGCCCGGCCCGGGCGTGGCGCTGCCGCTGCCGGCGCTGTGCGGAACCGCTCGGGGCTGGGGCGCGGCGGGGCACAGGGGCGCTGCTGGCTGCTCTAACGGGAGGAGAAGGGAGACTTTTTATTATTTTTTTATTTTTATTTTCCAAGGTAGTTAGGCAGGAGCTGGTCGTGTTCTTATGCGTGACGGTTTTAATACTTCTTATTTTTTTCCTCCTAGTTTTTTTTTTTTTCCTGTAAAATCTCTGAGGTGAGGTAAGTTGAGTTCAGAGAGAGAAAGAGCCTCGTTCCTGTATGTTCAGCGTCCTCCTGGAACGGGGCATCTCCTGGGTTGTTAGTGCCTGTGGAAGAGAACGGTTCTAGAGTGGTTTGTGGCTGCGTGGTTTAACAGTTTTGAAGAGCCTTTTGTTTAAAGCTATTTTTTTTCTTCAAGTAGTAACTTCAAATGTCCTGCTAAGTCCTGCAGCGTGGTTTGGAGAGAGAGTGAGCCTGACAGATTTGTGCTGGCAGTTAGCACAAAACGCGCTGTAAATGAAATAAGCACCCAGTGGCTTCCATTGCATACATCAGTCACTGCAGCTCTTCCTCTTCCCCACTCTCCCTCATCTCCGTTGCCAGGCCTCACCCTGGTTTGGAGACCTGACACAAATGTGCTCCGAGGGAGGTGGTTTCCATTCTCTCATTCCGGGGATGCCGCTTCCTTGGCTCATGTGGATGGGAACACCCTTTGCTCAGGCTCTGTCTGCAGGGGTAGATTAAATTCTTAAAATGCTAACTCTGCTTATTGAGCAATGTCGTTGTTTGTGCATACCTGGCACTTTTTTCCATGGATCCTGCGTGGGTTTATGTTTGTTTAGTTTTCCCCTAACATCACATACCTGGGCTGCCTCTGGGATTCAAGGTATGGGGCTTTCCTGAGGGGATGCGGAATACAGACTAGACCCAATACAATAATAGGTTTGGATGCCACTAATCACTGGTGGTGGTGAATGCAGATTGGGGTCAAATAGTTGTTCATCGCTTTTAGTAGAATAACAATTTGATTCAGGTTATGTAGTGCAAACTTATGAATCAAACTGGCTATAGAAACTTGCCTGAAGTTATTGAAGTATCTGTTTACATTAGGAGGGTGGGAAATGGATTCTTCCCAGCATAAGGAAGAACAAGTTGGTGCATACATTTTCTATTTACATGCTCAAACCCAACCAGAACTTCTCAAATATACATTGGATAGAATCAGTCCATCTGAAAAACACTCAGTCTGTTCTCAAATGTGATGGCCTTGCAGAGCAGGGTGTGACAAGAGATGCATTTGTTCTGAGCAAAGATCTTCCTCTGCGAAGTTTCTTGCAAAAACTCCCATTTTTTCTGTTGCCAACATGCCGCTGACGGACGGGCGGTTGCTATAGCATTGTTGTGTGCTGATGACATGAACCTTCCAGCCCCAGCCCTACGTGAGGGCGTGTTAGTTCTGTTCCTGGATGCTGTTCAAGTGTTTTGTTCCAACAAGCCTGATTCAATGTGGTTTTTAATTGATTTAGAAATAGGAGTCTTGCGAAAAGCTTTGTGAAAGATTATACTGCAGTTGCTTTGCTTCAGTTTTCACTGGTGTTTTCTGGTTCTTTGCGGCAAGGAAGACTACAGGACTTCCATTGCTTATCTGTGGGTTGTAACACTGTCTGAGTACAAAGGTCTCATTGTTAGGCACTTCATTTTATTGAAATAAACATGAAGAATTTCATAACTCTGGAATATGTCATCCACCTCTAAAGGGTATATGTAATAGTGCCAACAGCTCACTATGACTTCTGCTGCCTATCTTTAAAAAGCTGGGTTGGATTTTTGCTCTGAAAAAGATTTATTCTCAAATAAGTCAATGTGTGACTGTGCTTTTCATTCTCTGCCCTTTTTTTCCTCCCTGGAATCTTAATTTCCCCTGAAATAGAGTTACATTTGTTACTCACATACATAGGTTGCTTCAGAAGATGGAAGGTTTTCTTGCTGTATTTTAAGTGAGGAAACATGCAATTACTGCATTTCCGCTACGAAAGCCATGTAGTTGTGTTTCTGCATTTTATTTCTAAAAGTAAAGATTTCAGTGCTTTTTTCTTTTAAAAGAACTAGAGGGGGGAGCATTTCTAGGTGTTAAAACAAAGCATGGATACTTGCTTTAAAGTTTCACCCAGATCTCTGCTATTTAGAAACTATTTGTAACTTATTGCTAAATTCTGAGGTCTTGATTCCAGATCTGATCATTGACTGGAGGGTAGTTTGGTTTGCCTGGGGTGTTTGCCTGAGGAAGCCCCAACATCATAAAGAGTCACGAGTAATTTCAGTCAATGACAACAAGTTCTGAAAACCTCTGGAAAGGGCACACCTAGGAGTTGGCTCAGAGGGCATACTACCTGGGCGGCGGACTGGGAACTGGTTACAACATTGAAGTGAAGGGAATAGCTCCCAGTGAGGCTGAGAATAATGCAATTTTGATTCCAGGTCCAGTTATCAGTTAGTTTAACTTCACTGATCTTAAGGTGTTACTGAACTTTCTCTCTTACCTCTTGTCAAGCCAGTTCTTTTCCCTGTTTGATAATGCTGTCTCTACAGCTTGACTGTAGAGCTCCTAAGAAGCAAGCTTTGATTTCAGTGGACAAAATAATGTTTGCTGCAGGTGCAACCTGAGTGACTGGAAGGAAATGTGAATGGCAATATCCTTCCTTTCAGCAGAAGAATTTGCAAGCTGTTTTTTGGGACTCCATCAAGCCACTTAAATATTGCCTCTGGTGTATAATCTGTGGGGAAGAAAAAAAAAAAAAACAAACAACAAACTTCCTTAGTTGAGAGACCCTTCCAGTAAAACAGCAATACAGCCCTGGCAAACGTCCCTGCCCAGAAAGCAGAGCTGAAAATAAGCAGGGCGTTGTAACATACATACATCAAATCACTGTTTGTTTTTGCAGTGTCTCTGTCTCAGGGCTGTTTTTTTTTTTTTCTGTTTTTCTTTACATGTCGTAGCAAGATGTTGGACAGTTTCTGGCAGTGAAGCAATGATATTGATTACCTTACCTCATAGGCTATTATTCAAGCTAACATTTTAGAGTAGTCTTTGTTAGCTGGTATCTGACAATCACATTACTAATGGGCATTTGTAGCCTTGCCCTGAGGCTCTTATTACTGGGAAGTCACTGCAATACCATATGGTATTAGAGGCATTGAGGCCTGTGTCCAGGATTAAAGATTAAATGACGTTATGATTTTGTAAAATGTTTGCATAGATATAAATAGTTTCAGTGTATTTTTTGAGCACCTGAGGAATTTAGCATCTGATTTAAATGCTGTTGCTTGTTGCTGATGTTTGGATTTGAGCTGAACCAGGCTATACTCCTTCTCCACAATTTTCCTTGCACTGAGTTGTAGGTTCAGTTCATCTTTTTTGTAAGGTAGAGATTATCCAGTTCCTAAGCAGCAGAAATTGTTTTATAAGAAGTAAAGAAAAATTTTTGTTGTACTATAAAGTGAAGACCTTTCACTGTTGCATTACTTACAGTAGTGTGGTTTGGAAACTCTTAAATCATCATTCTTGCTTGGGATTAGTTGGATTGCATTGGATTGTGTCAGTTTCAGTGCTGCAGTGTGCAGGTCTGTGTAACGTGCTGCTCTAACTGTAAATATACTTAAGTCTGCTTGTTCTGTTTTTTCTCTCCCTCCAGCATTCTTTCACGATGTCTACTGTCCATGAAATTTTAAGCAAGCTCAGCCTTGAAGGAGATGTAAGTATTATTATTCAAACCAGAAAAGTTTGTTTTACTTAAATGCCGTGTCTTTTTTCTTTTACAGAATTCTTCCAGCAGTTTTGCTGAGCTGTACGGTTCACAGGATTCCACGCATCTCTTCTACTTAGACTTATTTTGACTAAAATCTGGTCTGTGGTGGTCTGTTTTCAGCCACGAGGCTACTGTAAATCATAAGGCAGTTGTATGAGGTGACTAAGGACAGCTTGTCCAACTGGCCAGCAGCATGAGCAATGTTCATGTGCAGTTTAATCAAAATGCTGGAAAATCACACTCTTTGTTTGACTTCTTGTATTGCAACATTAGATGGTAGGGTTACCAGTGTACTGTCAGGATATTGTGCCATGAATTTGTGGTTCTGTGATTGGTACTGAAGAGGAAGTGAATCCCATGTATGCATCATTTCATCATGTTGCTTATAAACTTACTATACATTTAAATTTTATGACCAATAACTGCAGACCTGAGCATGGTACAAGCAAACTTTTTGCTGATTTTTGGTACTTGTGAAATAAGTTAGAGTGTATGATCTCAGTCAAAGAGCTGTTGAAAGTAACTAGTTACTGCACTGTAAGTAACAGAGCTGATTTTGTATAGCGAAAGCAATCAGTTCTTCAGATTTCTTGTCCATCTTAATTTCAATGGGGAATTTCTTTTGTAATAGTATTTGAACAACCTAGTCTTATGTGAGTAATTTCAAAAGTCAAATTCAAGTACCATTGCGTGCCAGCATTTTCATCATAAATCCTGCCTGCCACAGAGCTGAAGAAATTCTAGGGAACCTGTTTGTTCTGTAGGTCTTAAGTTGGAAGCCAGAGTTGAGTAGCCAGTTCACATACATGATTTGCCCAGTTCCATTCCCCTAAATAATGAATCAGCAAATTAGCTAATGTTAAACACAGTATTTCAGCCATCCATTTTTCTCAGAATAGTTTTTAATTTTTGTAGTATAGAATAGGCACAGCTGAACCCTATCTTCTGCAAGAGGGGACTTGTGCATTCTGCATCATTGTTATAGCAACTGATGTGTTTCAAGACCAAAAAACTGCCTTTACTAACTGGCCTGCTTGCTTCAGACTCCTTCAGACTGCCTTCTCTTTCCTGTAAGGAAAGAGGGAGTTGAGGTGAAGTTAATCTGTGCTTGCCATTTCTGCATCTCTCCACAAGAGAGAATTGAAAGATTGTCAGAGATCTTCCTGATATGCTTTATCATATCCTCTTTACACTGGAAAACGGAAGCTTATATTTTAGTCATGACTGTATAGATCACTTGCAGGGTGATGTCAGGCCAACTCATTTTTCAAACATGACTATTTTTTATTTTATTTTTTTTTAAGGCAGATACCGAACTGTAGGTATCTTGAAAGATTCATGGTTTTTGGAAGAAATTTTTGGAAGAAACCTTTTGAGCTTTCCCATTAGTGACGTATAACCTCTCATTGCTGTTTTGTTCTTCCCAGTATGGTTTAATTCCTCCAGCTTGGAAGAAGTAAACCATTTGTAGGATGTCTGAAACAGACTAGGTGTGGGGGGGAAAAAACGATCTTCCCCTGCTTTAGTCTGACCCGAACTGCTGGTGCATTTACACAGTAGGCTGAACTTTTACTGTCACATCCTGGAAAATTTTGTACTAAACTGAATGCAAAGTCTGTTGGAAAAACTCTTCTGTCTGAAAGCATACACTAGCTGTACTCTGGTACCAGAGTAATATGAGACCTTATTGTCTGGAATGGCTGTTTTTCATAGTCAGAATAATCAGCCTGATAAGACCTTTGCATACTTCATTGAGGTACCAAAGAGTCAATAAACATCGCCTCAGAGAGTAAAACATCTTTGTGGATGCTGATTTTGGAGACGGTCCATTTACTGGTGGAGTAGCTGGCAGTTTTCTGTCTTTCCTGGATATATATCTGCATGGCGCTTTCTGGGTCTTTGAATGGTGCATTAGGAATCTTTCAGGCACACTGATTTCTTTGAGACTGCATTGCTCATCTCCATTTACTGTTTTAGTTAGCAATTCAATCTGCTAACAGGAAAGGCTGTGCTTTGTGGTGTGGCTGTGAGCCAGACTGCAGTCAGTTGCAGCCAGACCGCTAGGTTGAGCTGATGGGAAGAGACCAGCAAGAATGGTTCGCTTTATCAGTGCTTTATGGACTCCCATCTCTGCAGAGTAACACAGATGTTTTCAGGAAGGTACAGTGGCTACAGCCAGAGGAATCTGTTCAGGACAGCATGACCTCTACAGGACAGCATCAAATGTAGTTTTGTTGTGTGTGTTTGTTGTTTTTTTTTTAAACTTAGAATTTCTTAATTAAAATTTGTCCTTTTAAAAACTTGTCTGTAAAAAGATCTTCGAGGCACATTAAGATATCTTAGTCCTGTTTATGAACCCTGATTTCTGTTACAGTTAGGGACTGAAGCAAATGTTTCCAGGGATCCTTACCAAAAAAGCTTAGTCACTCATTCACTTAGGGAACAGCTATGGTCATTTCAGATATTAGTCACTATGCATCTCTGCCAGAGTTTTAGCTCCCTAAATTTGGCTCACCAGAATGGGATTTATGCATATTTCTCGGCTATTTATATGAAAATCTGTGGTTTAGTTTAACCTGCCCATGGGAGGTGATATGAGTTAATATGTTACTTGCATTGAAGCAGCTGAGAAGAGCTCAGTTGCTATTCTCTTGACCTCCTGTTTGAAGCTACAGTCCTCTGGAGAGGGCAATCATAAACAGCTGATAAAATCTGGTAACTTCTAAAATGTTCCAGTTGTAGATACTCAGCAAACAAGTGCATTCTTAGCAGAGGTAATTTGAAGTGTCGTTTAGTTTTGTTGGCCTTGTGCTGGTTAAGCCAAGCATCTGCAGGCACAGACTTTGAAAAGGAGACAGCAAGTAACTTGTGCTTTCTGGAAGTACAGGTTCAAAAAGATATATTTGGTGTTGTGTTTAATGTCCATGAGATAGAGGATGAACAATCAGCAAGTCAGAACAAGTTTCACGCTCTATCTCACTCTACTTATTTTTTTCATTGTAGCTTGAAATCACAAGTAACGTGTTGGCTTCAAATCTAAAATACTTCAAGCTTTCACAACAGTTGCTTAAAACTTATTTGAATTACCTTTATGTAGTCAATTTTCTTCAAATCTAGCCAGAAAGCTCTAGATTTTAGAAAATCTAGGATTAGCAAATAAACTTTGAATGTGTTAGATTTTTGCTACAGTAGTATCTATTTGTGCATGGTAAACGTGTCTGAATGGGTTTCTGGAAAAGTCACATCTGGAGAACAGAGTTTGGTGGCTCTTAGCAGAACTCAGTCTTCATAAGCATAGCCCAAGGTAGTTGTTGTATTTAAACATTTGGCTAAATAACAGCTAACTAAAGGAGGTGCATGTTTTATTAACTGCAGTGAGAACAGCTTGTATTAACTTTTCTTTTTTTTCCTATTCTCCCCCTCCCCGCCAGCATTCTCTCCCTCCAAGTGCATATGCCACAGTTAAAGCATACTCAAACTTTGATGCTGACCGGGATGCTGCAGCCCTGGAAGCAGCCATCAAGACCAAAGGTGAGGACCATGGGCTGTGGATTTGATCCTTCATGTAAGTTAGAATGCTTACATACAAAAAACAGGCAACCAAACAAAAGGTAAAGCATCACACAACCAGCATTCTGACACTTCAATGTCCATAATCTGGATACCTGTTTTAGGGTTGGGATTTTTCAGACCTCAGTGATGAAATCTTAACAGTTAGATTTTGAGATATGTAAATGTATGCTTTAAAACACGTTTTAAAAGGTTGTACCCAGGAGTTGTTTGGGTTATTGCTGGAAGCACCCACTTCTTTTCTTTTGGCTTACCAACATTTGAAATTCTACTACTTTTCTGCCACTGAGAATCAAGTGTCAGCTTCCATGGCAATGATTTGGGACCAAGGTCTGAATTGCAGATTTCTATTGGATTGGACATTGCTTCCTTTCAGCTCTCCATTTTAGTTCTCCATTTTAGTTCGATTTTGAACTAAATGCTTGTGTATCTTGTAGGGGTCAATGTCCTAGAAACAATAGAGTCTAGTTTCTGAAATGATGTCGCAATATTCGATGAGTGAGGCAGTATGTCAGTCAACTACTTCTCTGAACCAGGCTCCCAGGCAGACTTACACATCCTTTTATCAGTGTCAGGATCCACCACTTCTGCTGGCTGGTGGGGAGACCATGATGAAGCAGAGGAGATGCAGCCCCATGGAAAAGCCTGGTGTACTGAAACAAGCAGGAGTACAGAGAGTGTGGGCTGCAACTCCTGAGTAATACTATGTTAGTATTCCTGTGGTGGTGATCCTTGATCCTTGTCCTGCTCTAAAACAAAGGAAGGGTGCGTGCCAGGCTTTCCAGACTTTCTCGGGGCCTAAGAGGCAACACCTGGGCCTAGCTAGAACTTTTAAGTGTTTTGCCCACACTTCAGAAGAAGGAGAAATTTAAAAACCAAACAATTTCTCATCAGAAAGAAATGCTGAGTCTTCCATCAGTGCCAGCAAAGCACATATTTGGCTTGCTATAAAACATAAAATAGTACCCGTCTCTAACAAGCATGAGGCTCCCTTTCACAAGATTTCTTAATTTAACAGGAGAAATCTGTTGTATGCTCGTTAAAGTACGTTCAGTTCTGATTTTAAATGATTTTATGGACTGTTTTTTAAAAAGTTTAATTTTAAGAAAAGTAAATGTTTGGCAGAAGATGCTTTGCATGTATGTAGAGTTTTGTTTAGATTTAATATGTATATGAAATACATATTTTTACAATCCTTGGAGTAGTCTTTAAAGTTGTATCTTTTGTAGCGACACTACAGAATTTATATGGTGTATAGTCTTATCTCGGGGTAAAATTACAGAATCACAGAATTTCTAGGTTGGAAGAGACCTCAAGATCATCGAGTCCAGCCTCTAACCTAACACTAACAGTCCCCACTAAACCATATCCCTAAGCTCTACATCTAAACGTCTTTTGAAGACTTCCAGGGATGGTGACTCCACCACCTCCCTGGGCAGCCCGTTCCAGTGCCTAACAACCCTTTCGGTAAAGAAGTTCTTCCTAACATCTAACCTAAAACTCCCCTGGCACAACTTAAGCCCATTCCCCCTCGTCCTGTCACCAGGCACGTGGGAGAACAGGCCAACCCCCACCTCGCTACAGCCTCCTTTAAGGTACCTGTAAAGAGTGATAAGGTCACCCCTGAGCCTCCTCTTCTCCAGGCTGAACAAGCCCAGCTCCCTCAGCCGCTCCTCGTAGGACTTGTTCTCCAGGCCCCTCACCAGCTTCATCACCCTTCTCTGGACCTGCTCAAGCACCTCGATGTCCTTCTTGTAGCGAGGGGCCCAAAACTGAACACAGTACTCGAGGTGTGGCCTCACCAGAGCTGAGTACAGGAGGGACAATCACTTCCCTAGCCCTCCTGGTCACACTGCTTCTGATACAAGCCAGGATGCCGTTGGCCTTCTTGGCCACCTGATGAGCACACTGCTGGCTCATATTCAGCCGACTGTCCACCATCACTCCCAGGTCCTTCTCTGCCTGGCAGAGAATTGTTTGGATATATCTTACGCATTCTTATATAAACAATATACAAGTACAGTATTTGTGATGGGGGGAGCCAGTTTTGAGAAGCTACCATTTAAATATCTAGTTGTTTCCCAGCAATGCAAACTCCCTGTATCAGTGTCACCTCTGTTTTGATGGTTGTGTGTTACATGGGTAAAACTTAGCCTTGCTGGCTAAACAACAGATCTATTTGCCTAAGGACAAAAACCTGGGTTAGAATGTCTGACTGTTCTGTTCTGTGTAATATCTCAGTACTCCAACATTCATTCGCACTCTTCAGATTAATTCTTCAAAGGTTAGCCATCTATTTATCTGTTGCGGGATCTGTGAGAAATACTATGGTGTGTTTATTGGGACTTAGATGCTATCTGCAAAAACTGTGCTGCACAAATACATTGCTCAGCCTTTTGCTGGGCTTTCACTGGAGTTGAGTTTAGCGGAGGGTTGTTCTGTGTATCCAACAGCCTAGAAAGGGAGATGTGCAAATATGGCTCTAGAGTATAGAAAAACTGGTAGCAGTTAGCAATAGTTTGAGCTAGAGTTTGCATAATGCCAGTGAATTGTTACAGTTCTGTCTTGTTGCGTTTGTAGTAAATGCCATTGCTATGCTATTTTCACTTTTACAGTATTGAGGTTTTCTGTAGAGTTCATCTAGTACCTTAGTATTTTCTTTTTAAGTGTTGTTTTGCTGCATAGGACAAGAAACCATTTAATATCTGTATAACACTCCATTATGCCCTTCATGTTGTATAGATTAGTGCAGGTATATGAGCTTAAATAAAAGAAATACCAGTAGAGCATATGCTAGATTTCCTTTTCATTCTTTGTAGGAAAGAAGACTGCTAAAGTCTCTTTCTTGTTTCCAAAGTACTCCCCAGAATTATGACTTTATGTATCTCAAATAGTTTAAATAATTGTCAGGCTAGTATGTGAATAGTTCAGTACTTGCAACTCAAACCACACCCTTTTGTTGAGGTCTGTGGTATATCTTTTGATTCCCTGACTGGCAGAATTCAAACATGATTTTTTTTTTTGTAGGAAATGTTTTATTGTATGAATGTTTTATTACATTCATATAACATATAAAACATCATATGAATGTTTTATTGTAGGAAAGTGTTTGTGACATATAATTTTATATATATATATATGTATATATATATGTGTGTGTATATATATATATAAAGTGTATATATATGTCCAGAAATCATTAAAACAGTAATGAGGTGTAAACCATAGTATAAGTGTTGTGTAAAATCGAATTCACTTTTTTATGTGGTGTGTTCAACATGCCCATACCTTTTAGCAGAGTTTTTCTTGTTTTGAAGTAAAAGTTTAGAGGAATTGTGCTGGCATGCTGGTGAGGGGGCACAGTGCCCAAAATTCACCAAACTGTATCAGTTGCATATTTAGAATATCAGTATATCAGAATATCAGTAAAGAAACATTGCAACATAGTTTGGGTTTGGTGCAATGTTACTAAGTAAAAAGCCGAAGCTCAAATTAGTCCTATTTTATCTGAGTTTTTCCCTTTAACTCTAATGGGTTTGGGGTTTTATCAAAGGAAAATAAGACAAGTCATGGTCGTGAGCTCAGTCAAATGGTTATAGGACTGTGTTGGTACCAGATCTTTGATGGTTTTGAGGTCTTGCAAGGGCTAATTGCATACATCTCCCACTAATAACGGGAGCCAGCTACAATCCCGCTTAATTGATGGATGCAGGTTGATGATCTCTGTCATACTTCAATGCTGTTAGGGCTGATAGCTTCTGGTGTTCTGTCCATCGTGCATTTGAAAATGAAATCGAAGAGAACAGACTTCAACTAAGTGAGTTGAAGAAACATATGCCAGCTCTGGCAAAATAAGAATGTTTGCTCTGTTCTCACCTCCTCCAAGAAAATTAGGAGACTGTTCACATCCTCTTTTTTATTCAGAACAATGCTGGTGCTTTAGCAAGTATATTTCCATCTGCAAGGAACCTTCTGTATTTAAAAAACAAAACAAAACAAAACAAAAAAAAAAAAAAAACTGAGCAACTTTGTTACCCATTGATAAAAATATACTGATGAAATCTATCCTGAAACTTCGAGAGACTTTAGTGAGCAGCAGAGAAAAATGAGCAGCTGAAATGCTCCACCCCACCTCAGCAGATGTGAGTCAGCATCCTGTCCAGGCAGTACCATTCCCAAGTGTGCAGTCCATAAATGCCAGAGCAATGAGTTGGCGCATATTTTCATCCACAAAGCATTTGAATAAGAAATTTGGATGCAGTCATTTGTGGGCTTCTAAGCTATCACAATTGTCATAAAACTTCCAAATGTCATTTATCAGTTTTGAATTGTTTAAATTTAGAATTTATTAAAACGCTTAAGAGATTTTTCTATGCCTAAGCCCTGTAAAGGCTGAAAAGCTGTGTGCGTGTGTGGCCATTTCTGGACTGGGAGAATTTGCTTTATTTTGTAAAATGGAAACACTTTAAAATGTTCTAGCTGTAGATTATGGCTGAAGTGTGCAGTCAGCATGTTCTCAGACCAGAATTTCTAACTAAGAGGTATAATGCTTTCCAGGGCTTTTTGGTATTTGCAGGCCAAGCTTATGTGAATAAGAGCACGGATGTAGGTCTGCCTCGATATGAGCTAAGGACATGGGGCTATCAAGTACAGTACTTCCACATGAAGAATGTGGGCAAGAGGGAGACAGGAAGCTGAATCTTTCAGACTTGTTTCAGATTCTCTAACTAGGAATTACAAATTTTTTTTGCAACATTGAGTATGATTTATTATATAATATCTATTGCAGTTGTCTCAAGCTGCTGTGAGGTTGCTTTTGGTATTAGGGAATATAAATGTAAATGGGTTCTGGCAGGGATCCAGGATCTGCTCCTAGCTGCTGATGCATTCTGTACTGTCTGGTTTCTATCAAAAAAAAATCATCACTTACACTAATGTGTGCACAAATGTGAAAGAAGCTATTTGTAATGTTTGTTGTAGTAAATGTAGAGAACTGAGTCCCTCTGGGCGTGATCTGATGTCTAGTTTAGAACCTCATATTTGCTTAAAGCCTACCATGCAATTCACTATTTAAAAAACTATACACAAATCATCTTTCTGTTGCAGAACATGCGCTATATTAGTCTTAGATGTACAATACTTAGAAATACTTTTTTCCTTTTCTAAGCTTGTAGTTGAACGTCAGTGCATGGATTTGGAAATCTTCACTTAAATTCATTTAAAGCTAAACCTTTATTGATGCATTGTTCAGCTACTAAAATAGAGGTTGGGATTTTGAACACACAAATCTCTAGCTAGCTTTATTAAAGCTCAGTGCAAATCTTCTAGTTGTGATTAAAAACCAAACAAACAAAACGTACAATGTTCCCTCCAGTGTGGAAAAAACAAACAAAAAAACCCACAACCAACGACTATACAAACTACTACAGCTGGGAGAACACAGAGGATACTGTTTTATTTTTATTTTCCCCATTTTTATGTTTGGAGTGTTAGTTAAATGACTAGGGGGTGAATTAGAAAATATAACTGTTTTATTATGAAGCCTTAATTGAAAACACTGAACTCAAATGTTTAAGTTTAAATTTGTTCCAGTTTTAAAGCCTGTGTTCCTGAGCAACTTGCTTTGCAGAGTACTGAGTGAACACAAGTGAAGCAGAAAACAGAAGCAGCAAAACAGGTCATGGACTAGACTTTGTTGATGTGTTTACTTGCCTGTGCACACAAAGATCTGCATTGCATTGAAAATCTGGTCTGTCTCCAGTGCCAGGGCATTACATATACCAATTAATAAGAGCAACTGAAGTTTGCTCCAGACAGCGCATATGCTGTGTTTTGAGTGTCAGGGAACATACTAATACAAAGGGAGAGTAAAAAGAATTTCCTTAACTTGTTGTCTTATGTCTTTTTAGGTGTGGATGAGGTCACCATCATCAACATCCTGACAAACCGCAGCAATGAACAGAGGCAGGATATTGCTTTTGCCTATCAGAGGAGAACAAAAAAGGTAGCAGAACTTGCAGAAATGCTAATTATTAATTTTATGGATAGTTATTAGATTTTCAGGCCTTGTACATCTTGCAGTTAACTTGGAATAAGCTGGAGATAAATACTGTTTGGTTAATTTTTTCAGTGGAAGATGCACATACTGTGCTCATATGTTAGAGTTTAGGACTGGGAGTATTCCAAATAGGTCAAATACGTACAACTGGGACTGAAACCTTTTGGAGATGGTGATTTCCTAGCACTTACAGAAATCATGATGGGTAACATATCAGCCATCCAGCCATCAAGATTCCATGCTGAAATGTGTTCAACAATAGTGAAAAGCCATTGACAGCAAGTGTCTCAATTAGAAGGAAAAGGTGAAAAGCAATGGTCTTAGGGGAGTTACATATATTGTTAAGACAACTCAGCATAAAGAAAACATTCCATTTCTGTTCACAGGTGTAGTTTAAATGAGAAAAGACTGCAGTCAGTTGTTCTACAAGTGCTGCAGATGTGGAACAAAGTGATGTAATGAGCTGAACTAGGTACTGTTCTGTCAGAAGTATTGTATGCACTGATCTATTGATGGAGAGAAATCTAAAATAATAAGCAGCAGTCTGCATAATGAGTCCTTCTGTCTGGAAGTCAGGAGATGTTCTCTTGACTTTTGAAGTTGAAAGGCTTATAATTTAAGTTTTATGCCCACATAAAAGAAGAAACTTGTGTAGAGGTGGAATTATGATGAATGTATCTCTTTCAGGTTTGCCAGACCCCAAATGGTAGTCCTACAAGCCAGAATGCTCATCCAAAACCACATGTAAATTTGAAGTTTAGTTTTGTAAATTCACCAGCTGTTATGCATGGCTGATATAGGCACATATGTGCGGAAACACACATAGGTTGGACACATGCATGTGTGCACGTCTGCACCTTGGCAGTCACTTCCTGTGGGTAGTGGGAAAATCTTCCATATAAACTGGACCCTAGTAGTCAAGTGTATCACTCTAAGCTCTGTTAAATGTTTTGCATGACCACAAAAATGCACAGCCAAGAAAATATGCAGCTTCTTTCATGTAAGTGTTTTTATCTCTTCCTTTACTTTTTTTCCTTGCTGCAACCCAAAAGCAAACTGAATTTATCAAGTACAAAAAGTGCCTAAGGATAAACAGCTATAGAAATAACAGAAATCTTCAGTAGAGACCACTCAGTGAAATAAACAAGTGAATGGTAAGAGAGGAGAAAATGGAATACAAAAAGACGTATCTTGTTCAGTGATGCAGGTATATGTTCCAGGGGAAGTATCTCATGGATTTGTTTGGCAATACATTGTGCTAGGCTGCTCATTTTGTGTGTTGCAGGATTTCTCAATAGATTATTATAATAAATAAAAAGTTGCAGATCTAGCCCCATTTTCATTCCTATGAGTTGAGCTATGTTTAGTGGGAACTACTGGTAATCTTGAGGGATGGTTTGATCTATGAAATCCTTCCCCATCACAAGCATTAGTGGAACTACTGGTGACTGCTGGGGGTTCTGCATGCGTGTCTCTCCAAAGCTTCACGTGTTTCTGGTCAATCCTAACTGCCAACAATGATCTCTAAGTTTGAAAGGATCTGCTAATAGCCACATGCTCATTTGGAACACTGAGTAAAATCATCAATTTACAAATAACAAAGAAAGCAGTTACCTGTCTGTTGCCTCCTATGTGCTTCTCTCCTGGAGCACACTTAGCTGTGGCTGAGGGTGGCAGAGTGGAGCCCCCGCTTTACTACGTGTGGGGAGACACTCTTATCTTTCCAGGAGCCTGCTCATATGAGGGCATGTTCTTGATTCAGTTTGGGGTGTTTTGTTACAGTTAGTTTGGTAACTCATATTCTATTGATTTGTATTTCCTTCAGCCTTGGTGTGAAAGTGCAAAGATTGCAAAGCCTTTACTTGTTTAATTGTGATTCATGTCATTGTTAAAATTCATTTTAGAGGTATTTGGTTGTTTTCTGTTTCAGCTGATGTCTGAAGAACCTGTTTCCACACAAATAGTGAAATCTTGTATGCAGTCAATTAGTGTACTAAAATATCTGTTGGACTAAAGCAGCTAGATGCCCAAGACTCAACGTTGTGGCCAATCCATGCAGTAAATGCATAAAGTATTAGCATATATTAGCATCCTGGATTAAATTGGTGACTTTGGAAATAAATGCCTTGTCTGTTTATTTCTCTGGTACAAACTTATTTGCAGTTTTGCTGAGGCTACTTTTATCTTTCTTCTTTTCTTCCCTGCCTCTCAATCTCACAAATTGTTACTGTAGAAAGCAGCAATTGATAAGCAACAACTCTCCTCTGAGTGCTGTGTACTTACCTTCAGCTTAGGGAAGGTACTGACCTGTGTGGACTCCAGACTTCATTCCAGGGATTTGAACTTCGGAACTGCACTGCAATGAAGCTGATCCTAACATTATTTAAGTAACATCTGAATTCCATAAAAGAGGAACTGTCACTGACTTTAATGCAGACCCGCATGCATCCTGTGAAGTGAATATACGTGTTTCTTCGTCTAGGACTGACTGGTGATTAACAATAGACTTTGGATACACAATTCTGATAGTTTTCTTGAAGATCAGGGTATTTTTTCTTCCCTTAAGGATCATTCTTTTTCTCTTCAGCTGGCTGTTTGGGAACTGGGCCTTTACAATGGAATAACTGCAGTCAGTTTTCCAATGTGTCAGCTAATGTAGGGTTGTGATAATAGGAAAAACACAAATAATATGGTGCTACAGGGAAAACTGTGAACGTATGATGGAGAAACCCTGACAGTAGGGAGCCACACTCAGATCTGTCAGTGCTTATTAGATCTAACAAAGTGTCTGTGCTTCAAGACCAGAGATGAGTTGTTCAGAGTCACTTGGATGTCTTTGCATCATGCTTCCCAGCACTTTGCCAGCCACCAGTGAATTTCTCTGTATAGTCAAAGGATGAGAAAATTTCTATTTACCCTAACTTCATTTTTAGGCTTTCACAAAACAAAAGCTCTTTATGTTCTGTTTCCTTGTCGATTGTTTAATAAACACTGTTGCAGGCTTGGTGATTTAAAGCACTGCAGGCTAAATTCACTGGAGATCAGAAGTGAGCTTTAATTTTGTCCTTCCATCCTGTCTCCTTTTTCTTTACAGGAACTTTCAGCAGCACTCAAGTCTGCTTTGTCAGGTCATTTAGAGGCAGTGATCTTGGGCTTGCTGAAGACACCATCACAGTATGATGCATCTGAACTGAAAGCTGCCATGAAGGTAAATGAGATTTGTAATTTCAGTCTGTTAGTCTGATGTCACTATGTCAGGAATTAATTTGTATTCAAGGGCAGTTTTCAAATACATCAATTTTTTTGTTTTATTTTATTATTTTAGTTTAGTCCTACAGTTTAAGCATCCATCTGCAAGGCATCCAAAATCTCAGTGGGAAATTAAAGAAGTTCTGTGATTTTTTTTCATGTGATTTATAGGGTTAATTAAATCCTCTTTTTAGGAAAAATTGAATCAGGTCAGGTGTAACTGATAGGCTGCTCTGACTAGTTGCTGCTCTCATGACTGTTCTTTAAAACAATGTACAGGTTCCTAGTACAAAAAAAAAAAAAGGATAAGAGAGCAGCTGCTAGCTGGAGCTATTAAATCCTCTGCATGCATTTATAGGCTGAGAAAGTAGTTTGCAGTTACTGGGTCATATCACTGATTTTGAAAGAACATCGTGTACCAGGCCTGCATCTGTGTAGAACATAAGGAGGAGGGGGCATCAAAGCATTCTTGGAGCAACAGTAACACACTGAACTCAGTCCCCTACAGTCACACGTAAGCATGGAATAGGTCACTAGTTGAGAAGTATCTGCTCTGCCAGCCACTGAAACAAGACTTTGAGAGGTGCTCATGCCACGGCTTTCACCTTTCTAAGCAAACTAAAGTTTGGAAGCTTGTATTTATAATCATCCCTTAAATTCCAAATATTCTTCATGTGGTTATTTTTTTAACATGTAAAAAACCCCACACAAGTATTACAATTTATATGCTGAAACTCAGAACAAGACAGATGATTTACTAATTTGTCCAGACTATGAAAAGCAAGTAGAAAAAAAAAATGCCAGTACTGATATGGTAACCCTTTAATGGGGGGCCAAATCCATTCTTTGAGCAATCATATGCTGCCCTCTTCTGGTTTAAACCCAGGCTATCCAGAATTTGCTGTAAATCTAATGTGTGTGTGTGTATCTTATGCCATATTATGTTTAGGATAACCATATACTTGCAGCATTTCTGCTGCATTTACCACCTGAATACCAAACCATTAACTTAGAGTCACTATAGGTACGAAGTATTATATTCTCTTATTAAGTCGGACATTCCCATCTCCCAAGCACTCAGTCTACTCTTCTGAGTTTGCTTGAGCTTAAGATCGATTTGATTATTTTCTTAACTTTGCTTTCATAGTTGGTGAGGTGTCTGGAGGGAGGTAGGGAAGAACAAATTGGTTGCTGCCCATTTGCATGCTAAGAATCAGAGTTTCATCCTGTGCTGTCGATACAAAGAACCACCCGTAGGCTGCTATAAATTGACTTCCAGCAGTTGCGGTGGTGGTGGTGAGGTCGCTGAGAGTTACAGACACTTGTGAAAAATGCACATTGCCCAGAGAGAATACTTGCAACAAGATCTCAAAGCTATTAGGGAAACCTAATATTTGGCAAATAGAAATGTTCCATCTGGGGTGTCTGTGGCCCATTAGAAACATCTATACAGTTACCAAAAATATCCTTGAATGGTTGTGCAACTGTTAAGAGTGGGAGAAAGGAGAGAGGATAATGAAATATCTGTAAAATATTTTGAAACTGTTCAAGCATGTCTGTTTTTCAAGCATGTCTGTTCAAGCATGTCTAGCAACTAACTGAACTACATATGTGTTCCAGGGCCTGGGAACTGATGAAGACACTCTCATTGAAATCATCTGCTCACGGACAAATCAGGAGCTTAGTGAAATTAATAGAGTCTACAGAGAAAGTAAGTTCATTTTGAAAGTTTCAATGCATTATGTTTGAACATGAAGCTACTTGGATAATAACCCCTTTGTATTGATTTCACTGAATTTCTTATACCATGTCTGCTTTGATTCTCTGGTGTTTGGGTATAAGAAATCCCCTAAAGCATACTTAGAAGTTTTTTGTTAGATCTGCCAGAAAAGACATGAAGTAAAACTTCATAAAATTGGTCATTCTGTTTGTGTTCATTGCAATTTGTAGTACAGATGTCCATTATCTGTTTGTTTCCTTGAGCTTCAAGACTGAGCTTCACCAGAAATAGATTGAAATAGAAAAAATTGCTCTGTGCTAATGCTTAACTGTTGTCAAGCAATTCCACTAAGACACTGGTAGAATCAAAAAGGACAAGCAAAAACAATGTAGTCTTAATGACATATATTGAAAAAACTATGTAACAGCGGACAGAATGTTGCTACTGTAAATGAAATTGCTATACAACAGGAGAGAGAATGTGATCTTGTAGCATTTGGAAAAACACAAAGATGTTGTGACACCATACTGGAATCACATGCAACATTCCTTTTTTCTATCATAACAGCTTTTGTCTTCTGCATTAAACTTGTAATTGTAGTTGTCTAATTGTAAGTCCATGAGTGGTGAAGGTCTAAATGCTATGGCTGGCAAACAAGCAGTCATTGATAACTAAGATCGGTGTAGTAGTATATTCAGCTTAAAGCAAAATTCCCTTCCTTTTAATATCCTCAGGCTCTCCTGTTATCTTTCCACATCAGGAGGTAGGCTTTGTTGACATGGGAACTCCAGAAACTAGCTGATAGCAGTGTTTTTTTCTTTTGTATGGAAGCATGCGTTTTCCTTGCTTTCCATGTATGATTTAGATGGTAGCTGTATGTTGCTGTGCATAAAACAGTCATCAGGTACTGTTCTAGTAATGAGATATTTGTAGGATACCTTTAATTGAAAAAGAATTTTTTGTTTTCTAGTGTACAAGACAGAACTGGAAAAGGATATTATATCAGACACATCTGGTGACTTCCGCAAGCTGATGGTTGCCCTGGCCAAGGTGGGTCTTTGTCTTTCCGCTTTTCCTAATGTGCCTGCCCATTGGTAATTGACTGGTGATTGCCAGAAAAACAATAGGATTTCTGATTCAATATTAAATTTCCTTGTATTTTCAGTCTTTTGAAAATAAATAAAAGTAATTCAAATGTTGAAGGATGGTGTATTTTGACAGGAACATAGTGTTTATAGCCGCTTCATAAGCAAAGCATAGCTTCATTCATAAAGTGAAGCATAAGTTTACTCATTTAGCAAACGCTGATTAATAAAACAAAAGAGAAAAAAAAATGCATATAGTAAGTTGCTCACAATCTATTAAATGTCTTCTAAACCCTGCTATTCTCATTTGAAGGGCAAAAGATGTGAAGATACTTCTGTGATCGACTATGAACTGATTGACCAAGATGCTAGGGTAAGTGCTGGTAAGAACCATGAAATGTCTCAAGTTGGTCAAACTTATGGAGATATTCAGAGTACAATTTCTGTGAGAATTGGAAGCATTTATGAAGACAGGTGTGTATATTTCAGATGGTATTGCTTAGCAATGTTTGCATGCTCTCAAGGTATTTGTTACTTGCAATCTTGATGACAATTTTCATGGGCTACTTACCTGTAGAAAAACTCTGGTATTTCTTTTAGGCACATAGAAAATGAGATCTTGTAACAAAAGGGAGCATCTTGCAAAGACTGGCAACCAAAAAATTGCAAAAGATTTAGAGAGAGGGATTATTGAACTTAGTGGCTGTGTAATGCTTGTTGATTACACCTGTAAGTTACCAAAAGCAGTTCTGCTGAGGTAAACAGAGCTAATTAGAGTAATTGCTTTCTATTTACCTCTGCTTAGTTTTAGTCTTGGTTTTGGGTTACATCTATATATTTTGTCCTTAGTGATCTGCCCAGCCATGTGTCCTTTTGTATTTCTCCCACGGACACAGTTCCAGTAGTGCTGTTTTTCTAGTAACTGTATATATTTGAGATGTTTTTTGTGTAACTCACGATTTTGCTTTTCTTTCTAAACTCAGGAACTCTATGATGCTGGTGTGAAGCGGAAGGGAACTGATGTGCCCAAATGGATCAACATTATGACTGAAAGGAGTGTTCCACACCTGCAAAAAGGTGCTGTTCAAAAGATGGATTTTTTTCCCTATAAGAGCAAGTTAGAGCAAAGTAGTAACTATTTTGTCCCAAAGGTGATGGAGATGAGTGTGAAAAGTAATAAAACAAGGAAATCTTACTCATATACATATTGTTACAGGTTTTTTTTTAATTATCTGTGGATATGTTAATCTCAAAATTTGAATGTAGAGCTCTTTTTTACTTTTTTTTTTTTTTTTACTATTTTTTTTTTGCAACAATTGCCCAGTGGTATGCCATATACATTGAGAATGAAAATGTTACAAATCTAGAAAATGGGTTGCGTGAAACCTTGAAGAGGTCCTTCAACTTTTCATTCTGTCCCAGGGTAGGTTAGCTATATCACACATTTAAATTTGACATTGAAGGCCATCAAGCAGCTTCTGTAAGCACATGGGAAAGCCATTTGAACATTTTCAGGAGCTAAATCACTGTTGTTTCTAAAAATACTAGTGACAGGACTAAGATGGTATTCTAGAGGATTGTGGAGGTGTTCAAGGAAAACAAAAAGATAATAGCATGGGAACTTCATTATCAGCTGGCAAACTGGCTGTACTTAAGAGAGAGTTCTCAGAGGGACTTGGACAGATATTTTTTTAAAGAAAATATCTGTCCAAGATATTTTTTTAAATAATTTTTTAAACCATGTCTCTGCATTGCTCTGTCTGCATTTTTGGTTTGTGTGGTTGCTTTTACACCTCTTGGTTTGACTTTGATTTCATCTGCTTTCTTTCTTGTAATAGTGTTTGAGCGGTACAAGAGCTACAGTCCATATGATATGTTGGAGAGCATCAAGAAGGAGGTTAAGGGAGATCTGGAGAATGCCTTCCTTAATCTTGGTGAGTTACTCTGAAGTGGTCTACCTTTAGATAGTATCTTTTTTGGTGCACTTGCAGCATAATGGGATGAGAATAGGGCCCAGGTTCTTCTGTATCTCTGGAGGAGAAAGAAACTAGAAAGGCTGGCACTATTAGGTCCATTTGCATATTTTAGGACATTACAAGTATTGAGAAGTAGCAGATTTTTGCCCTCTGCAAAATATATATCTTAATTGCCAAATGAAAATGAAAAGGCACGTTTTGTGATCTATTGTTAGTTTAAGGCTCAGTGTCACAGAAATTAATGTTTTTTTTCCCCCGAACACAAAAGGTTGGAATTCTAGCTGGGCACATTAAGCATTCAACATGGACATAGGCTGGAGATAGAGCAGTGTGTGTGTGTGAGGGAAGATAGGATGTGGAGGATACTGGGTGGCTGCTATTTTGGTATGTGTTGAAAATGACATTGCCAGGTTTCATGGGATATTTTTTAAGAAGAGAATTCATTTCAAACTGAGAGAAACAAATTGTTTAAGGAAACTGCAAAACAAAAAGGAAGGGATAGCCAAACAACTTGTAAGCAACCTCAGCTAAAAATGATTAATTACTCCAGATCCCCTTCTGGAGAAACCGTTGGTAGAAACCTTATTTTGAGTACTTAGCACATCTTTAAAAAGACTCCAAGATTCTGTGTTCTGTTCTTCCATGAATGGGCAGGATGTGTACCTATTCCTCATCTTTCTCTCTTCAGTCCAATGCATTCAGAACAAGCAGCTGTATTTTGCGGACAGACTGTATGATTCCATGAAGGTAGGGAAGACTGTTCATTCTTACTACTCATTATCTTCTAGCCATTGTTTCACCAAATTTTTGTTTGTTAGATAGTTTTATTCATATGATGTCTAACTGGCATGTGGATGAATGAACCAAGACTTAATACTGTTCAAAAGCATTCTTTAATAGCTATATGTATCTGGTGTGGGGAAGTCCGGGGGGGGTCATGTAATAATGATTTTCATTAGATTAGTTGACTGTTTTTGCAGGTAAACAAGAGCTGATAGTAGAAAAATCATTTATTGAAATGCCAAATCAGATAACTAAATTTGCCTCAAAACATTTCCTTGAGAAAAGGGATGGAAGAGAAACGCCTGGTGACAGCTGTTAGACAATACCAGGAAGAAGACCTCCTGGTGAACTGGAACTGCGGATTGCAGTCTAGGTAGCTAGATGGGTGTCTATGGGTGTTGGTCAAACACTGCTGATGAGAAGGATATGTTCATGCTCAAATTCCTGGATCACAATAATGACTTTAGTTAGAAGGTGTAATTCATTGGATCTTTTACTGATGCATCTCAGTTACCTGTAGTTCATTGTTTTTCTATCAGTTACAGCATCCTTTCATGCATTTCATCTCTTAAAGTTCTAAATGTGAATGTGCTTGTAGGGCAAGGGAACCCGTGACAAGGTCCTGATCAGGATTATGGTCTCACGCTGTGAGGTTGACATGCTGAAAATTAAGAGTGAATTCAAGAGGAAATATGGAAAATCCCTCTATTATTTCATCCAGGTAAGTTTTCAGCTTTCTGTTTATATTAATTGTGTGGACATTCATGGTGCTCTTCTTTGGGCTAATTCTACCATTAGAATTCATGGGAAGTCCTTCAGAGGCTGCAGTGAGAATAGTAGGTCATTACCAGTTATCAATGCCCAATAGAAAAACCCACCTTAAACTTTCAAGTCTACTGCTGGTGCAGTTCCTGGCAGCCAATTGACTGTTATGTGTGGGTTTAGTCCAATGAGTTGATGTATTATAAAAGAAAATTCTGTTCACCTATCTCAGACTAAAAGAAAAAAAAAAATTGCTCTAGGATTGTCATGGTTCTGCTTGAGTGGGCAGCCGAGCTCCACCACAGCCGCTCTCTCACTCCCCCTCCTCAAAGAGGAATGGGGAGAAAATATGTGAAAAGGGCTCAAGGGTTGAGATAAGGACGAGAAAATCATGCAGTAATTATTGTAAGGGGCAAAACAGACTCAGCATAAGGAGATAGTAAGATTTATTGCCTATTACTAACAAGCGAGAGAAGTGAGAAACAAAGGAAAGAAACCAAAAGCACCTTCCCCCCCATCCACCCTCTTCCACCTCCTCCCCCCGAGCGGCACAGGGGAACGGGGGAATGGGGGTTATGGTCAGTCTACAGCACTTCTTCTCTGCCGCTCCTTATCGGTCACTCTCGGCCCCTGTGCTGTGGGGTCCCACCCACGGGATGCAGTCCTTGATGAACCGATCCGGCGTGGGCTTCCCACAGGCAGCAGCTCTTCCAGAGCTGCTCCAGATATGGGTCCGTACCACGGGGTCCATCCCTCAGGAGAAAACTGCTCCAACCTGGCTCCCCTACGGGCAGCAGCTCCTGCCAGATCACCTGCTCCTGCATGGGCTCCTCTCCACGGGCTACAGGTCCGGAATCTGCTCCGGCAGGGGTCTTCCACAGGCGGCAGCCTCTGTCGGTGCAGGTCCACCTGCTCCACCGGGGTCTCCTGCACAGGCTGCAGCGTGGAACCCTGCTCCACCGTGGTACTCCACGGGCTGCAGGGGGACATCCTGCTTCACCATGGTCCTCACCACAGGCCGCAGGGGACTTCTGCTCCGGCGCCTGGAGCACCTCTCCCCCTCCTTCTGCGCTGATCTTGGCGCCTGCAAGGCCGTTCTTCACTCCCTTCGCTCTCCCAGCTGCTGTGTGGCGCAGTGTTTTTTTCCCTGTCTTTAAATATGCTCTCACAGAGGCGCAAAACAACATCGCTTATTGGCTCAGCTCTGGAAAACAATGGGGCCCTTCCCAAACATGGGGCAGCTTCTAGATCCTTCTCACAGAAACCACCCATTTGCCCCCCCTGCTACCAAAACCTTGCCATGTAAACCCACTACAAGGATTGCTGAATGAACATAGATCATCTGAATTGTTATCTTTCATTCCAGTGCCCAAGGAGTAGGCTTTTTAGCCAGATTTTTTGTCCCTTTGTGTGATTGTGTAGAGGAAATATTAAGTGATAGATTTTATTTAATTTGGGGTATAGGTAAAGAGCTTGTGCAGCTGTTTAAAACTGTTCCTATATCCACCTTTGCATCAGCAAGATACGTTCTTCCTTGTTTAGATGTAGTTGCAATCAAAACCTTAAGCCCAAATATTTTCCTAAAAATGTCAATTTGAAACTATAAGTAAGTTTTCAAAATTGTGAATTTAATGTATAAATTTTTGAGGTGATTAGTGAAAAGGAACAGAATCAAGTTGTTCAGCTTTCCTTTGTTGTGTTACTCTTTTTTTGTACCAAAACTTCCTGCATTGACCTTGCATATGTTTTGCAGAAATGATAAATAATTCCCATTCACATTTAAGTAAAACTCCAATTTTGATAGTCTACTCCAGGCTGGCAAGGCTTCAGCTGTAAAACAGTCAGTCCCACATGTTTAGAATATAAAGTGTATGCCTTCATATTTTGCAATTGTTTCTTAATACATTTTTTTTTGTCTTTACAGCAAGACACAAAAGGTGATTACCAGAGGGCACTGCTGAACCTGTGTGGTGGAGAGGACTGAAAACTGTGATGGAAGAAAACCAGATCAAGAGACATGCTTTTTCTGCTCTTCCTATTACTGTAACCCTAGGAAAAATGACTTGCCTGGCTAACCTTGACTTGCCTTTCTATCTGCAAGACCACTGTTATAGCATGCTTTCCAAGTGCTGTTTGCACTTCTCTCAGCAGCAGTGCTCTGCTTGGTTCCGCCAAAGTCCTTAACAGCATAAAGCCACAGAAACTAACGTTACAGAGATAAGAGGTGAAAGTGCTTCTGAAAGACCGCCTCTTTGTGCCATGTTTCTAATAAAACTTAAATAAAACGGAAGTTTTACTTTAAGATGTATCTCTTTTGGACCTTTAATTTGAAAATTGTATGAACAATTGATACATATTTAGCCTTTGCCAACCGTTCTCTGTATTTTGTTTTCTCCCTGTGGCTGAAACCTCATCTTCCACCCTCGAAGCCTTTCCCCTGTTTGGTTACGCAATTTCTTACGAAAAGCAAAACGATTCCCCTGATTTTTATTTATGTACGTTTGCAAATCAGTGACAGTAAAACTCAAGCCCCGGGTGTTTGTGTTTGTTTTTGATTTTTTTTTTTTTTTTTTTTTTTGTCCGTGTAAAACAAGGGGCGAGTATTTGTGAGTCCCCCTCCAGCAGTGTTCAGAGCGGGCCGCACCCTGCCGGGGTGCCTCAGGCCTTCGGCCCGTGAGGAGGCAGCTTCCCGCCTTCTGCCTTCCCGCCCTTTTTCCCGCGCGTGCCGCTCCCGCCGGGCCGCGCCTCGCGCCTGAGGGGCGCTGAGCTCCTCAGCAGGCTGCGGGCAGCCCCCGCGCGCCTCTCGTCTGCCTCAGGGGGCCCGGGGCCGCCCAAAACCCAGCCGAGAGCCGTGAGGGAAGCCGCAGGCGTACGCCGTGCCCCCGATGCCCTGCCTGCCGCTCAGGGAGTCCTGTTTTTTGCTGTGGTGACAGGTATTCAGCGCTTCATTCGGGAGTGTTGCGTGTCTGCCCTCCTGTGTCGGGGCCGAGGCGAGCCGGCAGCGTGAGGCGAGGGCCCTGGGTGCCCTGTGAGCGTTCACCAAGCACATTCAGCCTCTCACAGTGGCTCCGGGCACAACTTCACTATAAGCATTAAGTAACTGACGAGAAACTGTTTTTCTCGTTTCTCAGCTGTTGTTGCTTTGGCAATAAGAAGCTGCTAGCATGTATCAGCCGTTTTCTCTCAGACATTACCTCTTTTGTGGCCCTGGTTCAGAGGCAGATGGAGTTCTATGGGTAAATCTTAAGACTTTTTAAATCAAGCCTTCTGAAAAGAGAAGCATGCAGTAGTCTGTTTCGTGTTGCTATTGAAGGGGTGAGAGATCTATGCAAAAATGCCTTGTGGCTGTGCACCACAAGGAATATTTGGTATAAAATGTAGTTAATAAAATATTGGTAACTTAAATACACAAATGATAGCATTTTTCAGGAGCAGCTCCAATTTAATGCCTGGTGGAGCAGTGTCGTTCACACCTGGTCACAAAATGCCTCTCTGACTAGATTTGTACATCTAAAAACTATTGCTGAGAGAGCAAATCACTCTTTGAATCTAATTAGGTAAGCCATCTCTATAAACTTTGCTTGCTCAAATGTGGCCGTTTAAAAGAAATGAAATGGCGAGTATTTTTCCAGTTCGTGGAATGAACAACTAGAATTTGATGGCTAGCGTGCTTTGCCTCGCTGCTATGTGGTGTTTAGAATTGCAGGCAGTCCTTTGGGAGCAAAGCGATGTTAAATAAACCTGCACAGTTTCAAAGGCCGGGATCGTTTTTGCTAAATGTAGACTAGAAACCTATATTAGCCTCCTGTGAATTCTAAAAATGTTTTCTGCATGTAATACGTGTTTTGTTGATGTCATTCATTTATATATATATTATTTTTATATATTTATTGATACTACTGGCTTACTGATGTTCCAGATAAGGACAAATTTGCAAGCTTTTGTGTAGGTCCTATCATGTGGTTGCAGGCTTGCTAATGTAAAAGATAGGTCCCTGGTCATAGATATTTTGTCAGGATCAGGTTTCCTGGACTTTGAAAATCAAAACCACCTCTAAGAATGGTACTTGGCAGTGCTGCAATGTTTTACTAGTAATTCCCCACCTGGCAAATCAAATACATGATAAAACAAAGAAGAAAAAAAAAAGGCGTAATTTCAGTTGCTGGTGATATGATTTAGACTGTTATTTTATCTGAGATATATTTGCCTTCAGAAGAGAAATTGTATGCACTTAAAATATGCCTCTCCAGATTCTTGCTGTCCCAAAAATGTGTGAAGAAAGGATTTGATCTCATTTTTTTGGGATAAGATCTTGATTTAGTTTATTGTTTGCTCTTTGGTTACCCCATTCCAGTAACACATGCTACCACAGAAAGTTTCCCAGGGATATTTTACAGTTTGTTGGTTTATTCAGATAAATGGTGCCAAATTCCACAAGAAATAATGGTAGTAGGATTTATTTGGATCTATACTAGTGTCTTATCAGATCTGCTTTGTGACATAGGCATTGTAATAGGGCTAGAGAAGCATATACCTTTCCATGAATATGGATTTAAGCAACTACAAAGAAAATAGTGATGTTTCTAACATGGCTCTAGGTGGTTTCCTTGGTGTGGTTTACAGTCATACACATAAGGGTGACTTTTACTGTTTCTTATACACAGCTTCCTTCCTCATATTTCAGGTGAATTAGTCACCTGAGAACAGTTTAAACAGTTTAATTCAGATTACGATCAAGACACTAATAGTGGAAAAGCTGTCAGGGATTACACCTTGATGCAAAAATCCTTATTGCTGTGATTTGTAACTCCATTTGCACATCATCTAAACCTCTTATAAAAGAGGTGGCTTCTTATTGCAGTACATTGATATAGAGTAATGCAAGATGTTTTATGAGGGAGAAAGATTTAAAATGGATTAATTAAAATTAACTGTAGTTCAGTGAAGAGCTAAGACAATGTTTACATCCTATTCAATGGAAAAGCTTCTTGCAAGATGAAAGATTTTTTAAGTGGTTGATTTTAAAATACCTTTTTCATTAATATTAAAAAAGGGAAAAAAACTGTAGCATTTCTACTTCAGAAAGCATAATGCTTGCTCTGTCAATACTGCTATGACTGTCTTTAAAGCTTGTCCCTCAAGTGTAACTTTTCCTTGCAGTGAGAGATCATGAGCTCTACAGAAGCACCAGATACAGAAGCAGATTTTATTTTTTATGTTTCTGTTTATATTTTATTCTTTCTAGGGAAAGCTAGCTGTACATGACTATCTTTGGAACCAAACCTTGCTGTCTGCAAGGCTCTTTGGGGTATGATGCAATAAGAAACAAATAACTGTATATGAAATTACAGCTCGTATGTTATTTGGGTCCCACTGTAGGTGATGCATTTGGTGTATTGTCAGCATCTGCTCACGAGAGGGAGCTCAGAGAAAGCTTCAAGTATTCCTGCCTTTAAAGCAAAACAAAAATCCTGATACATCTTGATATATTATGAACTCTGCTTTCTCCAAACATTTACATTCCTTGACTCTAAACCTTCATGTCAAAAATTCAGTTTCATCTTCCAGTATTTTTTCTGTATCTAGAAATTGACTATGTTCTTTGAAATAATTACCTAAATTTTATAATTGCTCTCTTTAGGGCACAGGAAACCCAAATGATTTTTGGTATTCTAATCGTATTACAAATTTTCAAAACTGGAAGGTTTTTTGTGAATAGCCTTCCAAGGAGTGAATTAGTAATGACAGTAACAGTAAAGGAATTTTCTCCCCGTTAGCAGGAAGTGTTTTGATTTTGAAATAATCTGCTGCTTTCTGATTTAAAACAGGTACTCATTCTCATTTTCTCCATACAAAATTAAATACATTGCCATATCTCTTGCTATATTCATATTAGCACTTTAGAATTTAGCTGCTATCAGTTGAACAATCTTTGCATTTTCACTGTCTTATCTGATAATAAAATGTGTGCCATTAACATAGCTTTTCTAAAGGAGATATTTCCAATTATTTGAGTACATTAATGTTCCTTTTCTTCTCACTCAGACTGTTGTTTCCACACTCAGGAAATGTTTTTGAATTTTTAATACAGCAAGAATTATTTTGATTATATGAAGGGGCTTTGTTTAAGTTCAGCCTATGCGTTTTTAGTGTATTAATGGAGAAAATACTCACTGATCTTTTTTACTGTGGCTTATCTAAGGACCTGTTTAGTGATTAATAGAAAATAATATTTTGCTAATTAAGAAGGCTGATTGGAAGGAATGTATACAGGTGTGTTAACTGTAGAACACAGTATATTGCTTGTGAATTCATGATGTAATAGCTATTAAATAATTTGCCCATTCTTCTGCAGCCTTGTGCTAGGAGTCCTTAGCTGTCGGTTTTATACCTGTGTATTTTCAGGTAGTGATTTACTTGTAAGGTGAAAATAAGCTTTAAGGTTTGTGGGGACTATTTCTAAACTTACACAGAACTTATCTGTTGCACAAAGATCTGCTTTTATTATTATTATTGAAAGAATAGTTATAAATACATTTTATCACATTTTTACAAAAGATTGAATTTATGAAGTTTTTGAAATTTTGTTCCCTGAAAAAGAAAGGCTATCTTAAAGTTGCTGTGTTACTACTTGATTTTAAAGTAAATGCAAAACAAACAAACAAATCTCTTCCTAGAATCTTTAAAATTTATTAAGCACTAAAGAAGAGTAATTATATTGGAAAAAAATATTTTTAAAGATTTTATCATAAAAACATTAAATGAGTTGCTTTATATCCTTGTAGGCTTTTTACGATTATATAATTAATTCAGTTTTGTTTCTGAGACAGTATTGCAATGAAATTATTGCAAATAAATTTAATAATGATGTACTTAAATAGGTCAGTAAAGCAACAGTTGGCATTTCACAATAAATACACTAATAATAGGGGATCTAAATTCCTTCCAACTTCTATTTTCCTCCCTATTTCCATAAATGATGTTAGGAGCTTTTTAGGTATGTTTTGAGTTTTGCTGTGGACTATTAGTTCAGAATTTTCATTCTCATTGCAACAAAGTTTTTTCTTGCAATAGAGCAGAAAACAGTTTATACTGTATAGTAGTTTTGAACAATGACTGTCATAATATTATTGCAAATAATGGATTACAGGAAGATTTTTTTCTGTTCTTTTGCAATATTTTTATTAAAAAAATATATCACTAAAGCAATTGCTTTTTTTCTGATTACATTCAGGTCTCATGCTACATTTTTTGATGGGGGTAGATGGGACAATTTTCCTCCTTTTTCTGTTCCTTTTCTTTCTTGAGCTAATTTATTTCACTTTGAGAGAATAGGGTTGACCTGTCAGTTCAAAACTGG